GGTGCTGGCCCCTGTGTTAACGACCATAGAGATAATGTTCTCATTCCCAGTACATGCAGCAAAAGATAGGACATGCTCACCTGTTGACCAAAAGTATGTTTAGAAAAACAATCTGTTTTGTGGGACTTAGATGCAATACATTTATTTGTAAAATACTTTGCTCCAAAATGTGCATGCATTTTGCATGTACACATTCATTTTGGTCAGTTTGGGGTTTAATGTCTTGCTAAAGACATGTCTACAAGTGGCCAGGGAGAGCTTGGGAATCAAGCCATCAGCTTTGTCATTACTCAGCCACCCTGTACATTTTAGGCTCGCTCATGCTGACTCACCAAAGTAAATGAGTCCTCCTCTCCTCTTCCGAAAGTACAGCCCAGTGGCTCTAGGTGTAGCCACATCACCACCATGACTAATGAGGTGATGGACCAAACTGATGTTCTGATTCACCACAGCAATGTGGAGAGGAGTGACACCTGAGACAGAGGACAGACAGACAGAGTTGGTTATTTTGCTTTGCTCTAAGCAGTGATGGAGAAGTATTCACATAATACTACATTATAAAAATACTGCATTACAAGTAAAAGGCCTGGATACAAACTTTTATTTTTACTGTTTACTAAATGTACTTGCAGTATTAAAAGTAGAAATTCTCATTATACAGAATACCCCTTTCAGAGTTTCATTATTATATGATGGATTAATATGTAAATTAATCAGGTTACAGCTGGTAACCAGTCCTCATATATTGTGTTGGTTGTGCAAACAACATGCGTGCACTACATTTAGTTGTGTCCAGATTTGCTAAAGCAAAAGGCTGTGAGGAGGTCATTACTGGTAAACTGCTGCTGATATTCATATTTTGAGCTAATAAGAAATCTTGAGAGGAAGATTAATGAAAACGGTATTCATGCATTGCCATTCATGCAGTGTTCATTACATTTTAGTTATGTCCTACTTTGCTAAAGCAGGACAAAAGGCTAAAGCAAACTGCTGCTGACATGCATATTTTGAGCTAATAAGAGATCTTGAGAGGAAGATTAACAAAAACAGTACATAAACACAAGAGAGAACAAGTTAAATTTCCCTTAAATCCTTCTTTGTATCTCAGTCTTTCTCTAAAATTCTTCATTTTTTGCTATTCGTTAACCATAGATATGGACATTTTTTGCATTTGTGCATACACATGTGTAGTAAAATGTCAACTGCATGATGTGCATGTGTATTTACATATGTCAACCTTTGAAAAGCTCAGAGGTCATGGGCTCGTTGATGAGTTCAGGAGCCCCGTCCATCAGAGCCACTGCTGCCTCCACATTATCATTCATCACAGCAATATGAAGCGCTGTCTCTCCAAGAGCACCTGAGTGAGAGGATCACAACTTCATAAAGTACAACTGACACTGTACCACACTGAAATAACACAGTGAAGTTTAAATTCACAGCTCAGTCATACCTCTCTCAAAGATGTTAGTGGACGCAGAGCTTAGCAGTTTCTTTATACAGTCAACGTTGTTTGTTTTAGCCACATAGAAGAGAGGAATGTCATTTGTGCTGAAGGAAGCAAAAAGAAAATCCTAGATTAAACAGTATTTAACCAGGTTAGCTTTCCCGCTTGCATATCATTAATTCTGACATAAAACTGGTGAATGGTATTTGATAGGAGTTTCTTACAGTTTGGTGTGGAGCAGAAACGTCTCATCCAACATCTTATCCCATCGTTTCTTGTTTTGAAGGCGAAACTTCAGCTGGTGCCACCAGTGACTGAGCTGGGCTGGAAGAGATTTGGCCAGAGGCGGAGACATTGACTCCTGATGGTTGACAACAGAAGATGGAATAAATAAAAAGCTGAGGTTCTGGTTAAAGTACAGGGAGATTAAAAAAAGCACCAGTATATACAAGCTGGCCAGAATTATATCATCATTTAGACTTTGAAAGTTGATTTGGATCTATATACATATTTATTTAATATATATGTAATTTATAGATTGCAATAAAACAAAGGAACAAAAGAGAAGAAATTTAATGACATACCCTTCTCTTAGAAAATAAAAGTTTCACTGGCAATATTCTTTCACAACATTCTAAATAAGGAAACAACACCTATAAAATGTCCCTAAAGAGAAGTGAAATCCCTCTGTCATGACCACTATATATGATCCTTACATGAGGGAGGAGACATATGTATAGACTGAGAATGAAGGGGTGGAGACGGAGGAGGAGTGATCAGTTAAGACCAACGGACTGAGGCTGAAATGAGCAGGTAGATTTTTTTCATCACATGTCAGCAATCCCACAGGGAAAGTTATGCTTTACGGCTCATGTCACCGTGCCACCACAAACTCCTTTGTCACACTGATTTGAAAGGGTCAGTTTGATTCTTTCATTTTAATAGTGAAGTGACAATAGTACAGACTAATTATTTCTGTTATCACCAGGCCTATCAGCCACTCTATCTTCCACTAAGACCTGCATGGCCACTATTTAAATTCTGCACTATCATGACATTTGGTTGTATTCATTTTAAGTGAACTATATAGAAAGCCTGTTTGGAAATTGCAAGCATATATGTCGAAACCCTGGTTTGGAACTGAAATCTGATATTAAGGTGTATTATTAATGAGGCCACAGAGTTTTATTTCTTTTTTATAAATAGGCAGATTTCTCCAGGTGAAAGTGGGATTATTTGGTGGAGTAAATACGGAGATGATGTATGATTTTCGAACATGTTGCATCTTGTACACACACACTAAACTAATTTCATTCACAGTGATTTTCATGTTAAGCACCACTGATGCGTCAACAGGAATGATCACAAACATGGTAACTGCCACATTACAAAGACCATAATGATCATTTGGCGGTTGGCAACATCATATCTAATGAGGTTATGTCACTTTCCTCTGATTGTGGAAAACAACAATAATTGTACATCTGATTTTGTGAAATTGTCATTTTTCATACAAGAGATTTTAAGCAACTGACTGACATTGAATGACAGGTTTCAATCCCATATGTGTATTATTTGTAAACTGCTGAATCAGTTAACTTTTACAACATTTGTGGCCATCCTAGTTGCAGTGTGTTTGTATTTTACTGCACCATTATAGATCATGACTCATAGGCTGGTTAGCTACAGGATAAACAGGGTTTAGGCAGACTCTATAGAAGGCCCTGCTAATGGTTGCCGATGTGGGAGTCATTGAGTATTATGGAGATAATAGCTGTTTACCAGACAGAGAGCATCATCTTTAAGTAGTATCACAAAGACCAGTGGTTTCCACTTTGTTAATGTCTTTATAGAGAAACAATAACATCATAAAAACATGAGTTTGTGGTTTGTACATCTACTGTTTCTGGACATACATGCCAGTAAATCTTTCACAACACACTGTTAATACGTGTTGTTACAACGCAGCAAAATAATATTACAGACAAGACAAGTGAGTCTTATTCAGTGACCTAGAGTAACGCGATAGTTCTCAGTAATCATTAAACAAAAATATTAGGTTTATTCACTGGACTATGTTAAGGGACAGGAAGGCACTATAATAACAGGTCTTAGCTGCTTCTTAACCTCTAAACTAATATTTAAAATGTTAGTATTCCTACTGTTTTATCTCAAATTCTCTTTAAGCATTTTCATAAAATGATGTATTGTTTAGCAGAACAAAAAATGTCCATGTTTATCTAAAGGTGAAACTATCTACAAGTAGAAATATTTCAGTTTTTTTCAGTGCAAATCATCTTGTGTCATTACCTTCTCTAAAAGCTAAAGCTTTTTCACTATTATTTTCACAACCTGCTTTACTCTTGTTGTTTCAGGTTACAAACATTCATATCGCGAACACATTTTAAACAAGTTGCATTAAATGAAAGACAGGTAGAAACATTGTTACTGCACTTCAAAATAAAGTTTTTAGGACAAAATTTTATACAGAAATGTTTCTTTAAAAATAAATGTCTCTTTAACCAACACTTTATAACACTTTTTGTGAAAAAATCACTTCCACTTCATCTGAAGCAAAAATGTTCAATAATAATCCTATGGCTTTTTCCCATGATAGTTACTTTTATTACTCACAGTAAAGTACATCACAACAGAATAGCGGTATAAATACATGTGGGAATCCACATCTGCTCAGATATCTGCAGGATGTCTATTCTTCACCTGCTGCTGATCTCAGCTCTGAAACGCTGATTTGACTCAAACCTGCTTAACTGTGGTATTTAAAAACATGGATTTAGCTCTTTAACATTGTGATATTAGTATATCATTGTGATAATAGTATTTATTTTGTTACTGCAATAAAACTAAAACTGGTGTAAATGTATATTTATACTCTATATTATAGATAAGGGCAAAAATTTATATGATAGCTGAGTAAAATGACATTGCATAAATTTATGGTTTCACTGTGTTTGGAATTTTGTATAGATAATTGTGGCCTCAGAGGATTTACCTTAATCATTTTGGTGACCTTCTGACTTTTAATCTAGTTCCACCAATTACTGTAAAATGCACAATGTATGCAGTCACAAAAATACAATCAGCAACTAGACACCTGTCCTGTGATATATCTTAAGGAGCTTGCCAATTTTGTGGACTAATGCAACAGACACCACTTGATCTTAAACATAAACAAAACAAAAGAGATAATATTTGACCCAAGGGAGGTAAGAGAACATGACTCTGTGATCGCTGGGGGCAGTAAAGTCATGTGGGTATGTTTCTACAAGTACCTGGGCACGCATATTGACAGTAAACTGAACTGGAGTGTTCACAGCAACAGCCTGGCCAGTTACAAAGACTGCACATCCTCTGCAGACACAAACTATTTGGTGTGAGTGCCAAGATAATGCTGATATTCTACAGTGCTGTGTTAGGAAGCATTATCAGGTTTAGTATACTATATCACAGCTGGAGGCGGCTGTGGCTCAGGAGGTAGAGCGGGTTGTTTCCTAATCCTAAGGATTAGCAGTTTGATTCCTGGCTTGACCAGTCAACATGTCAAAGTGTCCTTGAGCAAGACACCGAACCCCCAGTTGCTGCCAGTGATAACACCAGTGTGTGAGTGCAAATGAGTGAATGACCAAATAGTGTGAAAGCGCTTTGAGTGTGCTTCAATGCATAGAAAAGCGCTATACAAGTATAAAACCATTTACCTCATGATATGGTAAAGAAACTCACTTTACATTATGAGTACAAACTGCTACCCTCTGCAAGATAATATAAACCTCATAAATGTAAAACGACAAAATGTGATCCATAAATTGTCTGTTATCAAGTGCAATATTTAAATGTGCAATAATGTGTTATCAAATTTGAAATATGTTTAATTAAATGTCTTTTGTCACACATCTAATTTATGAACAATACCTCATACACCTGGCTCTAACTTGTTTATTGTAGTAACTGCTTTTGCTTTATTATGTATTCCTGTCAACATGAACTGCCATTTTATAATTATTGTGTTATTCTATTATTCTTTATTTTCATTTTAGCATTTTACTTTTCTTAGATTAACTGTCACTTAACAGTTGTTCATTTTAACCATATGGGACCATGTATAGTATATCCTATCTATCTTATCTTATAGTATTTCTGACTAATATCAATACTTATTACAATCCTTTTAAATAATTTTTATATAGGCTATTATAAACATGGACATTGTTTCACTTGTGCATCTGGTATGGAGCTAGACGATGCACTTGTGCCCAAGATGAATTTCCCTTCAGAGACATTAAAGTTCATCTTATCTCATTATTATCTTATCTTAAGAACATGATGGTTACGTGAGCATGTTAGCATGCTGACACAGCATTTAGTTGAAAGCGCTGTTGTGCCTCAGTACATCGTCACAGAATTATAGCTATCAAGGCTATAGACACAACTTGTCCTGTCAATAAGTCAGTCAATTAAAACTATTTATAAAGCACCTTTATACAAGTTGTCATTAGTCACATTATATTTAATTATATATATATATATTTGGTACAATGCTGCTGCGTCTGTCTCTGTCCCAGATTTACCATTCCACTTACACTCATCTGTTTTCCATCAGAGTGATCAATCAGTCAGTATACCAGCCAGCTCTCTGCATTTATTTGTTGCCAGATTGTCAAACTAGCGCTACTAGTGACTCCAGCCTACTCACCAGTTCTGTCGTAGATCTGTTTATGTGTTCTTTGTTTGTTGCCAATCTAGTTCCGTCATCCACTTGGTTAGTTCCCTGCTCAGATTTCCTTGATTAACATTTATCTGGCTTTGAACTGTCTTCTGCTTCACACTCTGTCTCAGCCTGACCTCTGTCTAGTTGTGTGCTACTTATTATAAGGACTGAAACTTCTTACCTGACATGTACGTGTTTGTTCAACATGCCCTATCATATTGTTTGTGTCAATATTTACTGTACCTGAAAGGACAAAACTTGTGTGATACTTCCCAGTAATCCCATGTGCTCCAGTTAGACTATTCCCCTGTGTTCAATGTTATTTGTGTTATCTTATGTTGAGTCATTTTCCTGCTTGTGTTGTTTCGAACCAGTCTTCATTTTTGTGTTGTTACATTCTCCCAAGTTAGTTTCTGTGTTTAGTGGTGTCTTTAGATTTCATTTGGTCCTTTATTTCTAAATCCTTACAGTACAATCTGGCTAATATAGACTTAGTGTACTGCTCCTACTAAGGAGTAAATTGTGTAGCACTGAGTGTGCTAACAGTCTACTAGCTGCTCAAGTAGCTAGCTTTGGGCATCCTAGCCTCCTACCTTCCTCAAGGCTCAAAGCTTCCTAGCTCCATTTCACCTTTTGTTCCTTAGTCTGCCCGTCTGACTGTCCTTTGCACGCAGGTTACAGTTCCAGTTCCTGCCTGCCGGCGTACTCGGGTTCCTGTCCCTATCTGCCTGCACCCCTGAGCCCCAGGCCCAGCCACCCTGCATGCCCAAACTCCATCTGCAGCCAGCCACAACAGCCATAAAGCCTGAGTTCCAGCCAACTCAAGCTCCTGCCCTAGTCGGTCTTGCAGACGTGAAGATAACAATTTCTACTGTACCCTGATCTTCCTCCAGTGATACACCACCAGCAGCATGTTTGCTCTGTCAGGGAGTCACCATTCATTTTGTTGATGAAAGCTATTATTTTTTGTTTTGTAAATAAAAAAAAACAAGGTTGATACTGCTTGCTCAAAATTTAACTCTTCATCTTTGACATATTGAACATTTTTGTCTTCTAGTGTGACATATTGTCCTATGGTGCGACACATAAAAGAACTAAAAATTAGTTTTTACTTCAAAATATCTTTAAAATATCAGTTTGCAGCTGCTTTAGGCGAGTTATATTCATCACTCATCTTGAATTGATATGTTTCAACGTTTTTAAAAGGATGACATCAAAGTTTGACTCATATTTATTTAAAGTCCATCAACTTCAATAAGTCATGGGGAAAAATTGTTATTCATAGTCATAATAAATAAATAAGAACAATTAAGATATATGTTTCTGTCATGCTGTCTGTATATTATTGAAGATTTTATTTTCTTAGATTTTTATGTCACACCAAAGTGCAGTGCAGTGTAGCCTATGTGTATTTTTTCTTCACAATTGGTGTTTTACCAAAAAAAAGCCCTTTTCTTTCCTCTTTGTTTGTCAACTACCCATGTACCTGCAAGGACAAAACTTACTTGATACTTGCCAGTAATCCTGTGTTCTCCTGCCAGACTAGTTCCCTGTGTTCATTGTTTAATTATTATTTATTTATTTACAGTGTGTTATCTTATGTTGCTGAGCCAGTTTTCTTGCCTTTGTTGTTCCAAGCTAGTCTCCATTTTGGAAGCCAACAGATTCTTCTATATAACATGCTAACACAGATGTTAACTTCTTTTAGAAAGTAGCTGACGTTTACTTCTTTCATATAGCAAGCAAACAAATGTTAGCTTAAAAGAAGTTAATGTCCACAGTAGTTTGAAATATGACATAAGCTTTCTAGCTTGTGACATGAGCTGCTATGTGCAGGAGCATGCATCATTCAGGCTGTGATGAATTTTCTACAAACAATCAAATTAAACTAGTAGCTCATAGAAATTATCTTATTTTTTTGTTATGAGATAACCTGTAATATTTACATTGTAATGCATTTTAAAAATTAAAGTTAATTTTGGTTACAGTAGACAATGCCTTCACATAGCAGGACATTACGCAAAGACAGAAAAACCAAGGAAGGCAGCAAGAGGGAGCACAACTCTGCTCAGCTGGAATCAAACTGAGAGTGAGTGGCACTGACTGGTTCAGTACTCTTTGAAAGCTTCTTTTCACGATTATCTTTGTGAGTCATATTTACATACATTTCTTCAAATTAAACTGAAATATATAAATTTTAAATTGCCTGGCAGGTAAAACATAACTGTATTGATAATTATTATTATTAGGTTTTTGGTCAACAAGCAAAATTAGAATTGCTGATATTTTACACAAAAAAAGCATGAAACATAAGGGTGCATACATCAATTTGAACAAAAGCATGTATGCACACATACTTAATCATACAAAAATAAAATGAAATAAATAAAACAAAATGTTTATTGACCAAAGGTGTAGGCTGAAGCTAAAGCTTATTATGCCTACTCTTACTCCACACAAGCAGCACTAATGGACATACATTTAATATAAAAAATATTGAGTATTCTGAATATATATTCAGAAGAACATGCATTATGATTATTATTATTATTTTCCTTATTATTATCATTATTGAGTATATCTTTTTATTACCATTATTTTATAAAGTATTTTAAACTGTGGTAATGAAGTAGCCATTTTTATTTCATCAGGAAAACTATTCCACAACTGAACACCTTTATTAGATGGGCAGTTACTACTTAATTTAGCTCTACAATATGGTTTGTTAAACATATATGTCCCTCTAAGGTCATAATTACTTTCCCTTATGCTGAACATAGCTTGCAAAGACTGAGGGAGGGTTTGTTGTTTTGCCTTAAAAATAAGTTTAGCAGTACACAAATCTACCAAGTCATAGAATTTTAATGTTTTCAACTGAATAAACAAAGGATTTGTTGGGGTATTATAAGGAGAATGTATAATTAATCTGATGACCTTTTTTGTAGTAAAAAGACTGGAGTAGTTCTATTAGGTTAGGATACATAACACCTAGTGAAATATGAAGCAAAGGTTGTTGTTTTTTTAAATAAAATGATATTTATTTTACAATGATGGAATAGTGGTAAACACTCAAGTAGACACTCACATACATACTGCCCCCCCTCATGTTTCAGACAACAGGTACATACTTACAACATGTTGTGCCTTCTTTCTTCAAGTGTAAATCAAGTGTATCAGATTTTCTTCCATCTTTCCCATTTCACACATTCAAAATGCTTTAGTGACAGTGTCAGTATTTTTACTCCAGCAAACAACTAAAAGATGTGAAGTGTGAAACATCCACATAAAGGTGGGTGCTGTTCCATTCTGTCTTCATCACAGATGAATGTTTGTGTTTTCAGTGTTTTGCAGTTTTACAATTTATGAGCTCTGCTGTCACTGACAGGCGTGACACACAAACGGGGCTGTTCTCACATCCTAGATGTGTCTTTCAAACTGGGAAAATGCAGCTTTGAAATAAGTTTTCTCTTAAGTTTTTGTTTTCCTAGTTTCATGGCAGTGATTCATTATCTAACCTCAGGGCTTATGATACTGCCTTTGAACTTCTGGGTTTATTAACATTTTGCTGAAAAACTGGACAAAATATACATTTATTTGAAAGCTAATAGCAATACCATAAATGTCTAGGTAGTAAACCGTTTACTTTTTAACGTTTAAGAGTTTTTAGCATTTGCATTTTAAACAGAGAGGAAGTGATAGGATCTGAAAAAAGAAGTCAAAATATATTAGAAAATGCTTTGATTGTCTGCACGCAATTCTTTGTGAGGGGAAAGCTGAATATGTATTTTATTTAACAAAACATATTTGTATAGTTTCGTTGTACTCACTGAGGGTGAAGAAACCAAGAGGTCTGGGGGCGGGGAGGGCCAGAAGTGGAAGAGAAGGTGAGAGGTAACGTGAGAGAGATGAGTGAGGAGAGAAGAAGGCAGTCAACAGTAAAGTGAAATCTAGTACCCAAAAAATGTAAAAAACATTGAGAAATCTTTGAAGTCCCTCTCCTCAGTATCTCCCTAACTTCACTTTTACCTGGACTGCAGCTCCCATAGTGCACTGAGTCACTGGCAGATCCTCTTTTTTCATCCCTTCTCATTGTTGTGGTGGGTTTATCAGTACGCACAATGGCACCTTAAGTTGATACAATTTTTTCTTTTTGCTTTAAATGTGCTCCATGACATAAAAGTGTTGCAGAAACCAGATGCAACAAGCAGAGGAATGTGAAAACCATAAAAATTCATGGCACAGGTTGTACTGTAGGTGGATTTCACACTTCCACCTGCCCTTTCGTCAGATAGGCCCTGAGCTGCTGGGCCGCGCTGACAATCTTCCTCTGGTGTCCAAGCAGGTTCACCCCGAGATTTTGGACATCGCTGAAGGACAGAGCAGATGAACTTTAGTTCAACAATTCAGCTTGTTACTGTATGTATTCTAACTATTGTTTACATGACAATACTGGTGGTTTTGCATGATTTGAAAGTTACAGTAGTAACCATGCATACTCACTCCATGGTGAGCCTGCTGACTCTGTCTAATGTGTCCAGGTGTGCTCCATCAAACTCATCCTGATATCTCTCCATCCTCAGCGCCTTTAGCCAATCGCTGACTGTTGACACTGACGTTAAGTCTGTGGGGGTAGGGCTGAGGAGCGGCAGAGAGCAGCTTCTATAAAGGTGGAAATGCCAAAAATAAGAGCACCTGCTGTGCCTTTGTTTTGTTGATGTGTTTGTCAGAAGCTGACTCTCACCGAGTTGGCTCCATTTTGAGGGATGCAGGGTTCCTGATGAGTCGATCCAAAGAGGACAGGAGTGAGTCGAAGGCTGGCCGTGCCCCTCGATCAGCCTGCCAGCACTGAAGCATCAGAGAGTGGAGGGCAGGGGGGCAGTTGTGGGGGGCAGGGAGACGATACTGGTCTGCTACTGCTTTAATTACCTGCAGAGAGAAAGTGAGAGAGACACTTGAGACACACAGTAAGCAGCGCAGATGGTGTGAGGAGTCTTGTGCAACTGCTTTATATAAAAGGTCACTGACCGCTGAGGGTCTGCAAGTGTGACTAAGAGAATATTATGTAAATCCAAGCTGCCTGGCATTTTGTTGCCATTTAAATGTGTCTGCTAAATAAAGAAGAGGAGCACAGTGATAAAGTACATTTATTCAAGTAGTTGTCTGTGCTTTTCTAATGGTTGGTACTTTCCTTTAGCTAGACATTACACTTTTATTCCACCAGCTTTCAAATAATGTACTGCATTTTACACTGTACACCACCACTATTTGCTTTGCAAAATAAAGTTTTACTTGTAAACAATGAACTCCTAACATTTTATTTTTTCAGGTAATATCTTACTGAGATTCCATATTTCATTTTCAAGAGAGACCTGGGCAAGACAGAAGCCAGAGGTGGAAAGTAACCAAGTACATTTGAGTATTTTCATTTTCTGCTACTTTATACTTCGACTTCACTACATTTTACAGACAAATGTCATGCATTTTACTCAATACATTTATTTGAAAGCTTTAGTTACTAGTTACTTTTCAGACTGAGATTAAACAAAATACAGTAGAATCAGACTTTACTGATCCTTGATCCTTTACTGAACCTTTGCCAGCTGCAACATTAAATGTGATGTATGCAATAATACATTGATAATTTTAGTCCAATAATATGATATACATTAATATAAATTGTGCCTTTCTGCTTATAGTACTTTAAGCATATTTAAGCTAATATATTTGTACTTTTACTTAAATAACAATTTGTATGCAGGACTTTTCCTTGTAAGAGAGTATTTTTACACTGTGGTATTGCTACTAGCCCTGTGATAGACTGGCAACCTGTCCAGGGTGTATCCCACCGCTCGTCCAGTGTCAGCTCCTCAGGATAAGGAGTATAGATAATGGATGGATGGCACTGCTACAATCTGAGTACTTCTTCCACCACTGACAGCAGCAACAATGACAAGTTACAAACCATAAACCACTTTCACGCAATCACATAAATCACTTGAACATGTCTAATTAAAAAGGCACCGATAAAATAACTTAAAGACAATAACACTTTCTGAAGTGTGTCTCCTGCTCAGACTGTATTCTGCTTCATACTCACTTCTTGATTGCTCATATCCCAGTAGGGACGCTCTCCATATGACATCACTTCCCACATCAGTATGCCAAAGCTCCAGACATCACTAGCTGAGCTGAACTTGCGATGCTGAAAAGTTTCTGGTGCCGTCCACCTCACAGGAATCTTAGTGCCCTGATGGAGGACCAATACAGACATTGAAGAAATACTGTACACTACAGTAGAAGTTGAATTACACATCAAGAACATTTAAAAAGCCACTGAGACTCATTATCCCTGTAGATACCAGTGAGGCAGTATATGTAGGTATGTTGTGGTCCAGGCCCCTCATGAGTCGGGACAGGCCAAAGTCAGACACCTTGCAGACCAGGTTGGAGTTGACCAGCACATTTCTGGCCGCCAAGTCCCGGTGGACAAAGTTTCTCTCAGAGAGGTAACACATCCCTGCACCAACTCCCCGGAGCATCCCAACAAGCTGGAGGATGCTGAACTGGCCCTTGTTCTCCTGAAATTACAGAGTTACAGGTAACAGGACAGAGGGAGGGCACAGGGAAATAAGACAGGAGAGGAAGAAATGGCTAAGATGTAACAAAATGTGTGTAGTCAGTAGCAATAAGGCACAGTACATGAGTGTGGTATTATTTTGCTACCCTGAGGAATGTGTCCAGGGGCCCATTCTCCATGAACTCAGTGATGATCCTCGCTGGGAGACTGCGAGTGACCACACCTTCCAGCTTCAGCACGTTGGGGTGATCAAACTGTCCCATGACCCCTGCTTCACTGAGGAACATCGCTCTCTCTCTGTCAGATGCCCCCCATCGTAGAGTCTTCACCACTACCAGCACCTCCCTGCGACCCAGTGGCCGATAACGGCCCCGAGAAACTTCGCCAAACTGGGCTGGAGTGAAGAGGAGGTGGAGCAGATTATACTGTGTTGACGGTTTTTACATAACTACAGTTAGACTGGAAAAAAAAGAGTACCAGGCCTACCTGCACCGATCACCTCCTCTATCTTGAGGTGAGTGGGGTCTATCTCACGGGCAAACTCTTTGACCGCCTCGCTGGGGTCCTCATAAGTAGATGGGTCCACATAATACTTGATTCCACCTGGAATTAACAAAGGTTTAAAATGTTTATTCCTTTGTATCTGACATGTAAACTCATATTTATTATCATGACACTAAGTTAGGGTGCTCTTTTACTGCACAGCAGAAAAACCTTGTTCTACACAGTCTACACTTCCTGGCTACTTTATTAGGTACACCTGTGCAACTGTGTGCAGTTCAGTGCAACACTTCCGTCTTAACATCTGTGTTTATGAAGCTCAACATTTTTCAGTTTTTGGTTAAATTGTCATAAATGTATAAATTCAATTATATATTTATTACTGAGGTCATAGTTAAAGGTGGTGTTAGGCTGGTGTTAAGGTTTCAGCTACATACATGAGGGGGTCAGAATATTAGGAACACCTCTGAATGTAATGTAGTACAGTACAACACCACTTTTACCTCAATAATAAAGAAATTATTGAATTTATACATACAAATAAATATTACTTTGTTAGTCACAGAGCTTCATTATATGTGTGCATCCATATCATTCACAATGTTGTTGTAATAGGTGGCCCTTTTGCAAAAAGTAAAAACATCCCTTTAGTTTAAATTAAATTCAGTAAAATTATTTATTTGAAATTAAATATACCCATTTAGATTAAATATACCCATGCTCACCTCGGTTACTAATGTATCTTTGGAGCCTGTCACTGTACGGACTCTCCCTTCTCTTACTGTCATGTAAAAACAAACAAATAGGTGAATGTGGACATGATTAAAAAAAATCAAAATCACATGTATGGCCTTGGGTATAGATTAATCACCTACCTCCGAAATACAACCACAACCACAATTGCTGTCACAACAAGGAGAAATGCCGCCCCACCCATCACCGACCCCACCAGCAGAGGAAGTCCATTCTGGATCTGCTGTGAATGTTCCTCTGTGGGAGAGAAAATGAGAAACTGATTACAGACACTGCAGTTAGTAATATAGATTTTCATGTATGTACATTCTAAATTGAGATATGTTATATTCATTTACAGTAGTATTTGACTGAATATTGCAGCTACAGAATGTAGAATAGACCACAGTTTGAAATTGTGTTTAACTTCGAACCTCTTCCCCTGTAGGTTCTCTGAGGGTACCAAAAAACAGTATTGATACTGAGTAGCTACTGATATTGATATATTGCACTGATAATAGTATTCTAATGAAACAAATTTGACTGACATGGAGTGAACGGAACTCAGGAAACTTTGTTATTTAAAAAAAATGGTCAAATCACTTCCAAGAGCATTTTTGGAAAAAAGAAAGAGTTGGTTTGTGGTTTTGTACCAGGGTGGGTCACAAACCAAACACAGTCATCTTTCAAAGAGCTACTTTTGTGTTTCCTTCAACACAATCTCACTTTTATCTGGGACAAATTTAAGTCAACTTCTATTTAAATATACAGTACTTTAATACTCTTTCCTACAGTTTTTTTCTGTCATATTCCTAAGGCCATTAGTTTTAACCACAAATTAATTCAAGACTCATTATACACTTAGTACTGATCACACTATTCTGTTATTTACTGTATGTGTCTTACTCTCATTAAGGATCTTTTTCTTTATATTATTAAGGGCTACTTATACCATATAGACGATAAATTACACCATTTCAGTTGTGTGTTAATTACAGTAATGCACTTTGAGATGGATTTCACTGGTATTAAATAGGCGTTGTACCCAGAGGCAGTGTGGTGAAGTAGATGGTGTGGCTGTAGGGTCCGTAGCCTCGTTCATTTCGAGCTCTGATCTGGAAGGCGTAGATGGAGCCAGGAATCAGAGAGTGGACGGTCACTGTGTTGGTCTCGCTGTACACGCTCACTGCACTGTCCACATCTGAACCCTGGGGGACACCGAGAAAGGACGTCTTGGTGAAACATGTCATGTGTCACTGTGGGATGTGTGTGCATATATGCGTTTGTTCACTAAGTGTACCTTGTCATAATATCTGAGCTGGTACTCCAGTATGTCTCCATTGGGTCTGTCCGGCTGAGGCCACGAGAGAGTGATGGAGTCTGGGGCACGGCGCAGCTGATGCATCATAGGAACTGTGCTGGGAACTGTGGGAGACAATGTCTGAGCCAGACTGAAAATTCCCTTGAGAGTGACCAACTAACCTGCCACTACAGCACTCCTCAGCCTACAACTGAGAATGAGTATAGGTGTGTTGAAGTAACAGTGACCACATGGGGGCAGCGTTACAGAGATGGTGGAGGAGATTTAGTACAGCATGAAAGTGGAATGGAGTGGGAGTCCTCTTGGAGAACCAAGCAGGATCTAGTTATTGTGTTGGTCAGCTACATCTATAAAAGGGAATGAGCTGGCATTCCATTAATTTAATCAATGATCTCTGAGAGCACAGAAAAAGGTTTTAGATGATTAGTTTCATTGAAAATTCTGATAAATCTTGATTGGTTTCTTGGAAAATTGTATAATGGTATAGTTTGTCTGAACAGTGCTGTAATCTCCTCTACCCACTTGTCTACTTTAATCTTTGTTTGTCTTTTTCTCTTCCCATATCTCATTTTTGTCTCTTTCTTCCTTCACAGTGACTGTAAATGAGATGTGACAGGATATTGTAACCTCAACAGAGAGGAAGAAAGAGGGTAGAGAAAAACCCAAATACACCCAAAGGATGCTCACAGCATCTACACAAACATCATCATCACAGCATCTCTTCCTCTTTCATCTCATCTTTTTCCACCCTATCTGTCCCGTGCTCACCTGACTGGCTTGTAGTGAAATTGATGCTTGTGTATCGAGCTGAAAAAGGACTCAAAGCTGACACCTCATTCATGGCTTGCACCTGTCAGTAAGAACAAAGCATAAATGTTACACACAAAGCTTTTTCCTGTTCACTTTTATGATGTGCTTCAGTGTTGGAAAAACAAAGTCTGACATGTGCAGCTGTGTCGGCCAGTCAACAGCCACCAGTCAATGGGAAAGCTTGATTTAGTCGAGTTAAGTAAAGATAAAAAATAAATGTTAGTTGTATTTGCTGATGTGGAGCTTATAGAACAATACAGCACAGGAGACATTTTTAAAACAACCTCCAATTGGCCCCAGTGATTCACTCCAAACATTCACAAGTTGTCCGGAATAGTAAGTATGGTCGAAACAATTAACTCTCAAATACATTTTAGACTTACTACATAGTGAAAGCTGAAGGTGTTTTTTCCACTACCTGTATGAGATATGTGACTCTGGTCAGCAGATTGTTGAGGGTGACCTTGGTTTGTTTTAGGTTTGTCTGGGAGGGGCTGAAGGTGACGCCCTCCCCACACCAGGAACATGACGCCGGGTTAGTAAAGGTGGCTGAGGGGCAGATGCGACACACCACCCCATACCACACCTCACTGCGGCCTCCCATGTCCACTGGAGCGCGCCACCTTAAGGAAACCCCGCCATCGCTGCTGTCATACTCCCAGGTCAGGGAAACAGGAGCAGAGGGAGGAGCTGTGGAGAAAACAGAGGCATTGAATGGGAGGGGTTTGACATACAGTACATAATGTAAGTAATTGTCTCGCCAGGCCAGGTATGCAAAGTCCTGGGAAGGATCAACCCCTGCAAAGCAGACAACATCCCTGGGAGGGCTCTGAGGGCATGTGCTAGCGAGCTAGCTGATGTTCTCACCGCCATCTTCAACCTCTCCCTCAGCCAGAGCATCGTTCCCACCTGCTTTAAGACCACAACCATCGTCCCCCTTCCCAAGAAGAGCCCGGTCACCTGCCTGAACGACTACAGGCCAGTGGCACTCACCCCAATTAATATGAAGTGTTTTGAGAGAGTGGTGCTGGCCTGCATTCAGAGCAGTATACCGGACACCCTGGATCTCCTGCAGTATGCCTACCAGCCCAACAGGGCTAACTCAGATGCCATCGCAGCTGCCCTCCACTATTCCCTCTCTCACCTGGAAAATGGAGACTCCTACATCAGGATACTCTTCATTGACTACAGCTCCGCCTTCAGCACAGTTGTCCCCCGCAAACTCACCCACAAACTGTCCACACTGGTTCTGCACCCCACCCTCTGTGGCTGGCTCCTGGACTTTCTGACTGGCAGGCCCCAGACTGTCAGGATTGGCAATAGGACTTCAGCCAGCATCATCACGAACACTGGCACTCCACAAGGATGTGTCCTCAGTCCCATCCTCTACACCCTGTTTACCCACGACTGTGTCACCTCCCACAAAGACAACATCATCCTAAAGTTTGCGGACAACACCACAGTGATTGGTCACATCACTGGCGGGGACGAAGCAGCCTACAGGAGGGAGGTGGCCGGTCTGGGGTCATGGTGCAAGGACAATAATCTCAGC